CTTAAAAAATTATTTCAGCCTGTAAGATAAAAGTACTTACCAGGAGTTCCACGAATATCAGTGCTCACTGGTTCAAAACTGATCGTTCCACTTCTTGAAGCATGTGCAAGGCCAAAATCTGCAACCTATAAAGAAGAAAGGTTGCCCAGGTGCACAAAGTACTAACTAATAACAATATAAAATATCAACATCAGTAATTAGCCTGGTTTACCTTTGCTACAAAGTTCCCATTCAAAAGAATATTGCTCGACTTTATGTCCCTGTGACAAAGAGGAGGATTGCAATAGAAATGGAGATACTCCTGCATTATAATTTTAAAACTGGACTAAGTACTATAAAAAAGCACTGAAAGTCGACAAACTAACCTATACTTTCTTAATTCCTTAATTAATGAAACACATAATGTATTATTAATTTGAAAAATGAATTCAATCTTGAATAGGATAGCAACATAGAAAGAAGCAAACATAATGCATATTTATTATAGAACTTAGAATTGATTTGCACTGCATATAACAAGGCCTTACCAGTGCATTGGCAACATCAATAGCAATTTGTAATCTGGCATGCCAGCTCAAAGGAGGTCTCCCCGGAGCTGCACAGATGCATAGTTTCATCCGTTAGACATGCAGCAATTTAGTTCACAATAAATCCAGATAAAGTGTAACAAACCATGAATTCCAATATATTACCATGAAGATGATCCTTCAAGCATCCATTTTCCATGTACTCGCACACGAGAAACCTTACAAGGGAAAATAATAATAAGGAAAACTGTTGATAAAGTTTAGGATTTAGGTTTTAGGATAGTTTCTACAAGTTCATGAAAACACAAACTGAAAAAAAGAAAATTGCCACATTCACCTCTCATTTCTATCTATGCAAAATCCCCTGAGAGCAACAAGATGGCGATGATGCAACCGAGCAAGGAGCTCTAATTCTCGGCAAAACTCCTCTTCACCTTGCTTTGATATTTTGTTGATCCGCTTCACAGCACCTATGGTTCCATCACTGAACTGAGCTTTGTAGACCGTTCCAAAACCACCTTTTCCTATGATGGTGCTGAAATTATCTGTTGCTTTCATCGTCTCTTTGAAACTAAACTGTTGGAACATGGGATATGGACCTACATAATAATCAGTTAGACTGACTCATAGATGTAGTTAAGATTGTCAATCAGGAAGGAA